CCCCTGGTATTTAGCAACCTGACACTGAACTGATCGGAAGCCGATTAATCGATTATTGAAAAAGTTGACAACTTTTTCAATAATCGATTAGTTGTTGCAGCCCTACTGAATACTGAAACATGGTCTGGGCAGGAAGGGGGGTTAACTTTGAGGCATGCTTTTTTTTTTTCTTTAAATAAAGTTTATTAGAAAAATGACAACAGTACACAGAACTCTGCAGATAACAGAATTAAGGAAAAACAAAGGTACAATCATTTTTAGAATTTCAAAAAGGCATAGTTTGGGCCCATCAGCTTCAGGAAATCCTTGATAGTTCGCAAATTACAACTGATCCGTTTGGTGCGACATGGGTACATTGATGGAGCAGGGTACATTGATAGGGGAGAGAACAAATCGTGCCCTCTGTACTGTCTTGTAGGTAGAGGAAGGAAGGGGGGCAAGAGACACTAGGATGAAGTGCAGGAGGAGAGAAAGAATAGAGGTGGGTATGATAACTGGAGAAAGTCCCAGCATGGGGAGAAAAAGGAGGTGGGAGGGGGCAGCATGGTTCTCACGCATCCGACAAAACCCATCAAGCTTAAGAACTCTCTAAAGAGAGACAAGTTACCTGACATTGTTAGGTAATTATACGACTCCTATACTGAAGGGGTCACAACATTAATTAGAAGTTATCCAAACGGTTGCATGCACTGGGGAATGGTTTCCTATGGTATGGTTAGGGAACAGAAAGGTGTGCCTTTTTTTTGTTTTAATTAAACAAGCCTAATGTTAAGGAATACCTAACAAGATATTTAACAATATTTTTTAGAGTATGTACTTAAAATGTTTACATTATTGCAAAAGAACCAAAAAGCATAACTGCCTGTAAAATTTGCATATCAAGAAGCAGCATATTCATACCCACCCAGCACAGATCCATCACCATGAGTGCCAACACTCAATCACAACCCAAAATTGCAGATAATAAAAAATTTGGCAAATTACAAAAATCAAATAACTAAACATTATTACCATAGGCTATTATTCCATACATCGGTCATTTAGCAGCATGTTTGAAGTAATGATCAAGATTTACCTGTTGAGAGCATTACACATCTCGATTGTTACCAGCACAGATAGGGCCATAGTAGTGGGATAGCGAGACTCAAACACTTCACAGTCAATTCCTTCAAACAGTGGATTCGCAGGGGTACACTTCATGAAATGTCTCTATAAGGAATGCAGTAAAAAACACCACAAACATCAATTCCTCATAAATTAATGCCATGGTTTTAGTGGAACTCAAAACCATGATTTGCTGGTAGGCGAGTTTAACTGTTCTATACCAACCCAATATATATACCCTATCGCAGACAAAAGTACCAGTGTGCGTCATTATCAACATCTGTCCACTTGTATTGTGGAAACATTCTGCATGTATCACTAGAAAACGCAGATAAAACTGGCACTTTAAGGGTTTGTGTTGATGGGCTATGGGTATGTCGCAGTGGCATTTCTGAGATCAAATCAGAATTAATGGACAGATGCATTTGACCTGCACTTGACCTACTTCTGACCTGCATTTGACAGCTTTAAGTGGGTTTTGAATTCTTATAGACTTGTTTGTGAACGCAAAACCTGTTTCAAGTGAACAAAAGCATCTTGACACAGGCCCTGAATCACCTGAATGCAGAACAGTATTTAAAGGAGAACTATGGGGTTAAGGCTTTTCCCTATAGTTCTCCTTAGGGTAACGGGAGGACACAAACTAGCGTCCTCCCGTCACCCTAGGCTCAGTATACCACGAGCTGTAGCTCGCGTTATACTGAGACGCCTAGCTGAAGCGTATCCCAGACAATTATGTCTGGATCCGCCCAGCTGCGTGACTAACAGCTGGCTCTGCCTATCTAGAGGCAGAGCCAGCTGTACCCGCCCCCTCCCCGTCCGTTCCGCCAGTCAGCGCTGGCGGATCGGAGCGGGGGGAATCTAGCCCCTCCCCTGTCATGGCAGAGAGCCGGGACACGATCGAGAGGTGAGCGAACACCGTTATGTGTTCGCTCACATCCCGATCTACTAAGCTGACCTGTGACAGTCTCATTGTCACAGATCGGCTAGAACTATAAGGTGAGTGGAAAGCACTCACCTCATAGTTCTCCTTTAACATTTGTGTTGTTCAGGACTCTGATGAAAGCAGAGTGCAATTGAAATGAATGATCCTTCCCGGCGGGTCACATAAATGTACGTCTTTTTTCTTTCTGCTCGCGTGCGTGCGCGAGCAGAAACCTGCCGGGAAGGATAACAGCTGTTACCGGCTGTCTCATACAAGCGTTCGGCCGGCTCTGCCCAGGACTGAGGGGACCCAGAGAAGAAGCTGATGAAGCATATGTGCTTCATCAGCTTCTTTGGGGGTCCTTAGGTGACATTAGGGGTCTTGGAGACCTCCGATGTCTCCATTAAGAGGACCTGTCCACGTGGTTCCTCACGGCCAAACTCTCTAACACACTTGGCGATCTAGATGTCCTTTAGCAGCCCCTTTACTCATTATCCATTTTTACTCATTCATGGCCATGATTATAATTTCCCCATTATCTTTTCACCTTGGGATTGCAATTCTGAATCCCTCTACTACTACCCAACAACTATTCTTTTTTCTACATTCAATGGATCGTATGTTGTTAAGGCTATTCAAATTTTTAATTGATAAACGACTCCCTAGTTACCCTGTTTTCGGTGTACATCACTACATGACGACGCCTCTCATGATCGCATGATCGCATGATTGTGCACAATTGAAATGTACCTGTGGAGGTTCCCACAACTCATTTTGTCATACGAATGTTTGTACATTATGCACAGTTGAAATCTGATAAGTGTACTGTATTTACTTTTCAATAACTTAACATGCAAAAAAAAAAAAAGGGAGGACCTGTCATTTTTTTTCTTGCTATAACATTGAGGGCTTTTTAGCCCCCAATGTGATAGTGTAAAAAAAAAAGTTTCATAAAAAACACCAAAAAAGTTTTAAGTCCCCCGCGTGCACGCACTTATACATGTAAATAAGCGTCGGGCGCGCCTACGTGCAAACACGATTGCGCCACACGTTACATATCTCTGCGAACGTCGCAGTGAGAGCAATAATTCTAGGCCCTTCAATCACTGATGACACTAAATTGATGAGCGGTAAAAGCTTTTAAAGCGTCGCTGTGGCCAATTTTAGGAATGGTAGTTTTTTGCGATTTTGTGGGCGCACGCAATTTTAAAGCTTGACATGTTTGGTGTCTATTTACCCGACGTGACCCCGTCTTTTATATTTTACTAAAAAATTGGGAAATAATGTTTTATAACATAACGTATCCCTATAGAGTAAAAAGTAAAAAACCCCAGTGCTGATTAAATAACACCAAAAGAAAGCTCTATCTGTCCCCCAAAAATGTTATAAAATTAATTTCAGTACAGCATTGCATGACGGAATAAACGTCAGTCAAAGTACTGCAGCGCTGAATACTGAAAAATGGCCTGGCCAGGAAGGGGGTTTAACACCCTGGTCAGCAAGTGGTTAACAATCCTTAAATGTAGGGGCTGCATTAGTATTTTTTTTCTGTATTTTCACCTGGTGATCCTACAAAATAACACGCTTGATGCCTACTCCAATGCATGGTGGGAACCATGGATGCCACCAGGCTAGACTTCAAACCTTGTCTTTATTCATCTCCATTACATGGTGGGATGATGAAGTAGTAGTTCACACAAAGAAAGTATGGTGCATTTCTGGCAAGATTAACAGATATTTTTTGTACTTGGTAAAAAAAAAAAAAAAAAAGGAAAGGAATGACGACAAGAAAACAGTTATCATTTAACAAATATTCCTATAAAAAATACTTTTGACTTACCAGCTGATAAAATGTCACTTGTGGTCCATCTTCATCATATAGAAACCACCATGTGGCAGCTCCCACAGTGGCCAGGCCTACATAAACTGGAGTAAAAATTAAAAAAAATATAGGTCAGAAATAAAATACAATCTTTTTAAAAAGGAAAAGTGATGCACTCTTTACAATAATTTAAAAACATTCATAAACAAGAATGGTGCTAAAAACATCTAAATAAGAAATGTAAATCAATCTTTTGTAGAGCATAACTCGGCACACAACTTTACTTTCCATAAAATAATTACTTCAGAAAATCATCAATGCTTCAAAATCCAGGATGTCTGCATTTTTCTACACTCACATACTGAGCATAAGGTCAGATAAGGAGATCTGAACTATTGTCTATGTACATTTTGCAGCAGACAGTGCTTCAAGTCTGACAGCTTCAGCTGTCAGCATATACCTTTATTAAGCCCTATTTTGAATGCTGCCTTACACTCCGCACCCACCCACCCAGAGCAGTTGAGCAAAAAGCACATTTTTCTATATGCTTTTAGCAAAAACATAAGCACGTCTCCCTGCCACTCTGCACATCAATGTCCTGGCATGATGGCTTGTTGCTGAGGCACTGTACTCTGGGATATGGGCACAGGATATGTCTTTTCTGCACAACTAGGAAGTGGATAACAGTGTGGCGATGACTGTGTAGCATTGCACTCTCAAATAAGACAACTTAAGTTGCCAGATGTGTTACACTTATATTGGTTCATAATTGTCATTGCTACACTTCTGCTTTCTAGGACATTAATATAATTGTATATAATGATCTTCCAGGAAAGCAGATTTGATCTGACAGATTAAAAACAGAAGAAAATTAACTAGAAAAAAAGCCCCCTTGAGCTTTTAGCCATAATGTGCTAGTATGCACAGACTATTAGCACATTATGGCAGACTTATCTACCAAAGTGGCCCCATCAATTGCTGCGCTTCTCCCTTGCTGGAGCTTCCACCTTTGCCCAGGCCCCAATGATGTAACTGCTGTGCATGCACAATGGAGCCACTTCAACCCGGCATGTGCGGCTCAGTGTACAGGGGGAAACATAGCCGACAGGGAGGTAGAAGCTTTTATGGCAAGCCTGACAGTGGGCACTTTTTTTTTTAACTTCCACTTTAAAAAAGGTACATTTCTACATTTTAGGCAATAAGGCAATGTTTTCAATATACTGTCATGTTTTGGGAGTCTCTCTCTCTCCATTTGTCAGTATTACTGTGTATAGAAAGACCGAACAATACCTCCAATTGCAAGATATCTAAAGAAAAGCCACCCGCTGATTAGTGGTTCCCTGGGATTACGGGGATGCTTATCCATGATGTCCAGGTCAGGTGGGTTAAATCCCAGTGCAGTGGCAGGTAATCCATCTGTTACAAGATTAACCCAGAGCAGTTGGACTGGGATTAAGGCTTCTGGCAGGCCAAGGATAGCCGTAAGAAAGATACTAAAAGGAAAAGAACATGCAGTCAAGAAAAATAGTACAGAAAAATAGTACAGGCATATATTTTCAAATGTTATTCAGTCTTGATACAAACCTATCACCATTCTACTAAAAGGAAACTAACCTTTCAAAGCAAGGCTATGCATCACCAAGTGTCAATCACAGCCTTTCATTTTCAAAGAGTTCTTGCAGTTTACTGTGGAAGCACTTGAAGTATTCTGCTTCTGACTTTTGGAAATATCTGAGATGAGACACAGCCCTACCCCAATGTAATACAGGGTGCCTTCAAAAGGCTGCTGAAGCTCCACACTGAATCCACTTTTCTAAAACTATCTGGGCACCCTGCAGCAATGCTTTGGAAAAGACACAGATTAGCACCTAGTGGTTCATAGTCTTGCTTTCAAATGTTTAATATATAAGAGGTATTGACATGTTTAATCATTTCACATTTTTATTATTAGTAGCTTTGTTAATAATCTCATTGTTGCTCATACTTTTTAATTTTACATTTTGATTGAATATATATATATATTAATATTTTTTACTATAATTAGGAAAAATTACTGAAAATTTTGAAAAAAAAAGGCTTTAAAATTGCGCGCACCCGCTCATCAGTTTAGTGTTATCAGTGATTGATGGCCCTAGACTTATTGCTCTCACTCCGACGTTTGCGGCGATATGTAACATGTGTGGCATAATGGGCGCAATCGTCTTTTTTGCACGTATGCGCCCCCGACGCATGTTTGCATGCGTGTATGTATGGGTGGGGACTTTTACATTTTTTTAAATTCTTTTTTAGGTGTAACTTAAAAAACATTTTTTGGGGGGACTTTCATTTTTTCAACCTTTCAACATCTCGTGGAGTCACGAGGTGGCCCAACGAAGTCATCTCGTGGAGTCATCTCTTGGCCCAACGAAGTACTGATGGGGTGGTCACAATAATTTGCCCACTCACTCAGTGTATATACATATACACACACGCACTATTTATAGTATATTAATACCTCAAAATTACACACAACACACATAAGAAAGTATAAAAAATAAATCAAATAAAATATGAAATAGTGTATACTTCTATGTGCATTTTTTAAAAATCAATAACTTCATCAATGTGCTTTACTCAGTACTCCAAGTGCAATCCCACCACCTACTGGACCTCACGGTATCAAAAGGACGCTCTGTGGTCTTAAGATCCATGCGGATGGAAATCATAATGTTTTAAGAGCTCAGGAAAGAGAAAAGAGGCTCCTCATTGTGTGATAGCCCGACTGCTCATATGCAACAGCCGTCAATGGTGGTTTACAAGTATCGGTGCGTTCTGCTCCGGGGTGCGTGCAAGCAGGAAAAAAAAAATTCATTACAATAGGCAGACAGCAAGTAATTATTAGACACTGCAAAAAAACAAAACAAAAGAAAAAGCACTTGGCCAGTCAAATGTAACCATCTCCTATACTTTTTTTTATTTTTTAGAAAAGCAGTATTAGCAGTAGATCTTAAGGATTCTAGATTAGATTCATTAGGGACACAGAGGGGTGGGACTGTATCCCCAATAAGGGACACAGGTCCCACAGGTCAGAGGGGTGGGATGAACTTCAAGAAAATATTTTTATAGGGAACGTGGCCAGGGCCGGATTTACTTTCTCTGCTGTCCCAAGGTCAGGTTGCCCCAAGACCGGGCCTTGGTTGGCCTTGTGGGAAATCCGGCCCTGAAAGTGGCAGATCCTAGTAAACAACTTAACAGTGAACAAATGAACAAAATCTGTATGTTTTTTTTTTTAAATGTGCCTTGTTGATTCGATTTAATATAGTTCATACACAATATAAATTTATTTTGGCCACATAAATAGGAGTTAATACTTAATTTTGAATTTTAAATAGCCTGATCTTTCTGTTTAGGAAAAGGAGTTAATACTTCATCTCAGATTATTAATAACCTGATTTTTCTGTTGATGTAACTAAGGGTACTATCCACTTTTAGCCAATAACTTGAAGGTGTCTCCCAACCAACTCTAATGAAGTCCAGTGTACATCTACACAGAGTTTATAACTATACAGAGAAGCAAGTTTGATTGCTTAAAGAGGAGATTCTAAAATGTTTTTGATTTACTTTTAAATAGGTGGGGATTTTGTTATGGTGATTTCCAGTCCAGTAGGTGGTGGGGTTGCTCCTGGAGTGATACACATAGGTACATTTATTGATTAATTAAGAATGCACATAGACGTGCACTGTCTAATTTTTTTTTGTCATTTGAATTTTATTTTAGTTATGTTAAACAAATGCTTTGACAAGTTGTTAAAAAAATAATAAATTTACATAAAACAAAGTGTTCACCATATTACTATAACAGTAATGTTATAAGAATGCCATGGTTATTTATTGACAGTAATGTTGTTACAAGAATGTCATGGTTATTTATGGTTTGATTTTTTTTTATCTGCCTAGATTTTATTGCTACCAACATTTTTCTTGACGTCTGTTGAGTGGATAATGATAATCAATACAATATCAGCTAAGAATCCCTTTACATTGTATACAGATGGTTGCTTCCAGTTTAAAGTAAAGTCATTTCAATGTTCCTGTTCATTCTTGCAGGTGATTGCAGGTTGGAAGCAGGCAAATCGTAAGGGACGTGTTTTTTGCTATATTGATATTCTATGTTTGAAGACATTAGCAGATAAGTTTATAACCTATTGGAAAAGGAAATTTAGAGTTGTATGGCCACTCTAAAATGGTTCTATCTCTAGGCTTGCCTAATTTGTCTCAGTATGTTTAAGTGGAACTCCAGGATTTTCAAAAGTTAACCCTTGGAAAGGGGCTACCCACACACTGCAAGGGCTAACTGCTTGTTTTGGTCCAGGAGCGCAAAGAAAATATACTCGCCTGATCCTCAAACCCACCCTTCCCCAGGCTCTGGCAGTTTAACCCCTGCTAATGTCATCATCTCTATGTAAGGTCCATTTACTTGCATTAGACCCAAGGGGCATACCACAGCTGGAGCAGAGAGGGAGAGAGATGAGCGGTCACAGTTAGAAGATCGAGTGAGTGAGTATCTTCGTTATTCAGTTCCCTAGACCAAAATGAGCAGGTAAGCCTCGAAGTGCGGGGGTAGCCCCTCTGCAAGGGTTAATTTTTGAAAATCCTAGAGATCTGCTTTTAAGTGTGTTTAAAATGAATATATTCTTTTAGGTATTGTATAAAAACAATATTATCAGATGTTACTAACATTCCTACAAGTTGATGAGCTGGGTGTGAACATATCTTACCAGACTACCTCCCCAACATTGGAGGAGATCAGGTAGCGAATAAACTGTTTCATGTTATTATAAATGGCTCGGCCTTCCTCCACAGCAGACACGATAGTGGAGAAGTTGTCATCAGAGAGGACCATCTCTGCAGCTGATTTTGCTACAGCGGTACCAGAACCCATGGCAATGCCAATCTCAGCCTTCTTTAAGGCTGGGGCATCATTTACTCCATCACCAGTCTAAGAAATGAAAAAAAGAAATCCAAGTTATATTTTTTCAGATGCTGAAAATTTCACTACAATTTAAATACTTTGACTGCGACACCTTACCATTGCAGTAATTTCATTTAAAGACTGCAGATACTCTATAATCTTGGATTTGTGTGCCGGCTCAACTCGGGCAAAGCATCGAGCTATACGACAAGCATCCCGTTGTTTTTCCAGTGGGAGGTCATCAAACTCCCTCCCAGTATACGCCTTGTCTGTAATGTCCTCTGAGTCTGAGAAAATGCCAATCTTTCGGCAGATAGCCACAGCTGTGCCCTTGTTGTCACCGGTTATCATTATGACTTTGATGCCAGCTTTTCTACACATCTGAATTGAAGTAGACACCTCTTTGCGGGGAGGATCCAGCATTCCAACACAACCAACAAATGTCAAATTTGTCTAGGAGAAATTTAAAATGTTATAATTTAACATAAACTTAAACATACAGTATATTGAGAAAAAGGCATATACAGTAAAGCCTTACCTCATAGTTGATAAATTTGTTAGAGTCATCCAGCTGCATTTCTTCTAATTTTAGTGGAACATCCTTTGTAGCAAGAGCAAGGCATCTCAGGGTGTCTATGCCACTTCCCCAGTCACGGATCTTGGACATGATCCGCTCTCTTGCAGAGGGCGTTAGTGGTAACTTTGTGGAACCCACACGAACAAAATTGCAACGCTCAATTACACTCTCTGGAGCACCCTAAAATGAAATAAGATTTTGCCAATAGAACAATACACGTATGATGAACATGATTTCCAGATGATTTGGTAGAATAAGGTCCCCGAGATTAAACATTATAATAGCGCTTTAAAAAGATGTACAGCCTAACATGAAATTGGGATCATGATTTTTTATTATTATATCAATTTTTATTCCTGTTCCCAAGTCTTCCAAAAGTTAAAGCTAAACTTTAAGCAGATTTAAAAGACACAAATTAATGCAGCTCTGCAATTAATACATCATAAAAAAAGGATTTTTGTATTCACCGTAAAATCCTTTTCTCTGAGTCTATTGAGGGACATTGCTTGATGATAATTAAGCAGACTAGGTCTGTCTCAAAGCAGTGCAAATAGAGGGGTATCGCACACAAAAACAAAGAGGCATTTCAGTCCAACCAAAACAAATGGAACGTAAGGGCATTAAAAAAGCAACTTGAATCAGTGAATAGATGCACTAGGTCAGTAAAGTGAACCTATAGCACGCGTGACATAGAGCCTAGGTGCCGGTTGCTGGGGCCCGCGCACTCCGGGTTCTCACCTGTGGTGCTCTGTGCGTGGCCTCTGGTGTTCCATGGGTCTCCTAAGTCACAAAGTTTTTAGAGATGGCCACTGCAACAAGCGGCCATCTTTAAACTTGGCGGGTGCCCAGATCCTATTTAATATAATGCCGAACCGGCAATATATTAAATAAAAATCATCCTATGGTGGTCCAGTGGGGGATCAGTATGATCTGCATCTCTTGCTGATGCAGACCATACTAATTGCTCCCTCGTGGTGCTGCTGCTCACAGGAAGGAGCAATTAGTATGGTCTGCATCAGCCAGACATGCAGATCACAATGATCCTTCACTGGACCACCAGGAATATCCCAAGTACCCCTCTGGACCCCAGGGATGCAAACCCCTCCCTGCAAAACAGATAAAGCAGGAGAGGGAGACATTTAAATTATTAATTTTTATTGTTAATAGTTGTGCGTGTTTTTAATGTGTGTGTGATGCGTGTACTTTTTTTAATGTGTGCATGAGTGTTTTTTTAATGTGTGCGCGTTTCATTACGTGTGTGATTACATGGGAGTGTATAAATGTTTGAATATGTGTTTCCCCATTTTGCTTAAGCCAGTGCTGCTAAACTTTTTTTAAACCCCAGCGCCCAAACTAAAACACAATGCAAAACTTATTTTCAGTGTTGGCACTTTGAGATAAATACATTGATTTTGTGTTGCAGTTTGGGCATTCGGGTTCAAAAACGTTCGCCATTGCTGCACTAGGTGAACTCTAGTGATGGGCTCGGCGTGGTCGCAGCTCCACGTGCCGAGCCCGCCAGGAAGCTGACAGCATGCAGCGCCAATCGCAGGCACCGAGACATTTCCTGATCTCTGCAGCTGCGCACCAGGAACATGTATCAGTCAGTACCTGTGATTGGCGCTGCGCGCTGTCAGCTTCCTGGCGGGCTCGGCACGTGGAGCTGCGAACACGCCCGAGCCCATCACTGGTGAACTCCATCTGCTATGCCATCCATTGCATGGTCTTTGAGCCTTATGGAGAAATATCGAGGGTTTTGAGTGTACTTCTCATTGCCATTGTTGTTTATTGCATCATTGTTGTTTATTGCATCAGAGCTTCTGATATACTGGAGGGTGCTTCTCTTTTCTTTCTATAACTCCTTGTTATATTCTGTGTATTGTTTAAAAAGCTTGCAGAACCTTTTGAGCAAAACTGGCATCTGCAAAGACGGATACATCAAACCTTGTAGAACTTAGATCTGTAAGGCTGGGACTTGGTCTTTCTGTACATACCTTCTCTGAGGTCTAATGTCACGAAAACCAAGAAGCACACACCACGCTAGTAGAGTTGGCTTTAACAGAAAAAGGAGGCACTTTATCTTGCAACTCATAGGCCTGCACAGTAACCTGACAAATCAATTTAGAAATAGTGGGTCTGGAAGCCAGAGAACCTCTTTTAGGACTTTCCAGAATAAAAAAACAGGGAATCCATCTGCATAAAACAAGCAGCATCTTAAAAGGGAAACCCTGATGGTCCTCGCCACATCCAGACAATGGAGAGAAATCTCCTGGAGGTAAACCAGAAACCACTTTCGGTAAAAAGCAGGTTTGTGTTCTCAAAACAACCTTATTCCTATGTAAAGGTCAAATAAAAATGCTGATAACCCCGAAACCTTTCTGGCCAAAGTGATGGCCACGAGAAAGCATACCTTACAGATATTTACACCAATGAGATATCCTGAATAGGTTCAAAAAGTTTGTAGCACCAACAAAGCTAAATTTAATTACATGTGCATAGTGTCAATTTCACCTGTAGGCAGGTAAGTACCTTAATAATCATCAAGCTGTGTCCCTCAATGGACAACAGAGAAATGCAAGTAGTTTAAGTAACTAAATCTCTTAAAAAGAGGTGCGAGAAGCAGCAGAAGGAGCCAAGCAGGTGTACTGCAGTGAGAGTATGCTAACTAAAGGAGAGAGCATAGTGACAAAGATGAGCTCATCAGTGTGCTCCTTCTCTTTTCACTGTCCAGTCACAGGGTGGGGTATAACTAAGTGAAATTGCAGCAGAGAGTAGGTCCCCCACCACACATGCACACTAGGCAGGGCTGTGATGTGTGGCAGAGCTTCGTAAATCTCAGGACTGGATAGACAAATCATTTGGCAGCTAAAACGTTTATTTACTTTTGTATTTAGCTATTGCCTGGGAGTTCAGTTTTTGAACTAAAAGGATTATACCAAAAAAACATTCATTATGGTGACCTCACCTATGTAACAAAACTGGAAATCGGTGATTTGATGTATTGATATTTTCCTCTAGATGGTGCTAGAACCCTTACTTTTATACGAATAGCAAAACATAAAAGCTGCAACACACAGCTTGTTCAGTAATCATTATGAAAGACATTATTTTTAAATATGTAGAAAACAATGTATGGGTAGGGAAATTGAAGCGTTTGTGTTGGTGTATTGCAAAAATGTATTAAAACACTTGTCTGGTCTGGTAACTGATAAATGGTGTGATATTTGTGTCAGGAGAAAAAATAGATGACGTATAAACAAAATGTTGTCTGTGGGTGGGAGATATAATGCATATGTGTGTGTTTAGTTATGTGGGGTGGGACTGGTGGGTGGGAAAATATGATCATCAATCTGCATGGGGTAGCTTGCAGTTTATCATAAGGAGGTCATTGGCACAAAGACAATTGTTTATCAGGCAAAGGGAGGGCGAGTCATGAGTATATATAGATTTATAGTTTTGTGGGGAAGGCAGATTATGGGTGGACACTTTTTTCAGTGGTGGGTGATTAGTATGGGGGTAAGATATGGACACTCTGCAGTTTGGAGATGGGAGCAATCAAAGACAGAATGTATGAGTTGACAGTGAGAACTACAGATGGTGGACTGTTCTGTACCTTAAAAAGGAAATTTGCATCAAACAATGGACTCGGATATGGAAAACATCTACTCTAACAAAAAAATATGAGTTCATGGGTGACTTTCACAAAAAAGACACAGAGAATTCTGTTACCTTAACAAACATCTTTGTACCAAATGTTGCAGCACTGGGACCGAGGGGGCTGCAATACACAGACATGGATTTCCGATCTCGAGAGAACTCCAAGGTACACTCCTTCTTCATCAGCTTCTTAATTACCTGTTACAACATAGTATAAAAGCTATGATTTCTGTTGCACACATTTATCATGGTTCCTTATAGCAAGGCTTGACACATTTTCTTTGAATCCAGGAGCCAGCTAAAAAAAAGTTAGAAGCCAAGTTTTTTCCGCAGGGTCGTGGGATTTTCATTTTTTTTTAATTTCATTTTATTCAACTTTTTTTTCTCATTGGAGAGGACAGGTTCTCTTTAAGGTGACATTAGCGGTCTATTAGACCCCTATTGTCACTTTTCCACTTCAGCTTTAGCTGGGGAATGGCAGCTGCTTGCCGAGGCAGCTGAATGTAAACACAGCAGGTAGTAGCTGGGAGCAATAGCCATCCTGCTATTGGCCAATTTAAATTGCATTAGCAGGCTGGCTATTGCACCCTCCCAATACCTGCTGTCAATCAGCAGAGAAAGGCCCTGAAGGAGAAACCTGCAAGGAATGGTATTTTTTAATGCATGTGGAGTTAAATCTTTAAAATGCATTCAAGTACCCTATTAACAAAAATGTATCTTTCTTGTATTGAGATTGTAGTCCATCACGGGAGTAAGCTTGGAGCGGTGGCTACTTTACAACACACACAGGGACCATGGGGAACAAAAGTAGCCATCCTCCAGAAGGACAGAAAGTGTCAGCATGAATTTAGAGACGATTTGTGGATCTACAGCCTATCTACAGTGATACACCAACCTTAAAACCACCATTAAGCATCCAAATGACAGAGAACATGTATTTGCGGTTTGTTTTTTGGTTAGAGGCATAAACCGTAGCGTCACACTGAAGGTTACAATTTCCAAATCAACTCCCAAGAGCTGAGGGAAAGAATAGAAGGGTTTGCTGCTTGATGGATTTTAGTTGTTTGTACTAAGCAATTTTTTGTCTGGAAAACCAGAAAACAAATTAGAAGTAGAACATTGAGCCAGAAATTCTTTACTGCTAGACATCATTACCAAATCTATTTTGTCCTTTTAATCATACAGTGTCTAAAACTGTACTCAATCAAGATGCAACCTTGACGTGATTCACACAGGGACAAAATATATTTCCATCACATGTTAATCTTCCTTTTTATTAATAAAGCTTTTTTGCTGAACACTGAGTGGGGTGAATTTAGAGTGAATTCTCACCAGATCCTTTCTTTCCAGCGCTGCCTTGTCTTGCATTAGGGCAAATTGCCTGGTCACGGATGGGCACAATTTACACCCTGCATTGCCGTGGAAGACCGTGGTGTGCGCTGAGGAGTATTGCATGCAGTACTGAATTGGCGCTTACACTGTCTGGGTGCATTAATGTGCATTGCGTTAAGCTAGCCCATTATTTGAATAGGCTGCGTAACGCACCAAAAATTTGAATATACTATTTTTGGTGACACAGCACACAACACATGGTAGTAACCTACTATGCATTGTGTGCGCTGCAAAGCAGGTGCAATGGCGTGCCATTAAGTACGAATGGTGCCCCAGCACACAAACAGGCAGCACTGTAGTGCAACAATATGAACCCAGCATTGAGCAGTATGCCCTAGCCCTTCCTCAGCTGAGGTTCACCTACCTGTTGTGCAGGATGACGGCTGTATTTTGTGTGTCACCTGGAGTTGTTTTTAAAAAAAAACAAAGTGTTTCATCAAAACACGGAGCTTGAAGGTGTACTCACTGAATTGCAGGCACTGGCTCGTTCCACCTTAGAAAGCTTGCTCAAATCAGTGTTGAAGACATTCATTTTCTCCACCAGACAGGTTAAAGCAGTCTCTGTTGCTTCCCCTACCTTTTCGTATACTCCCTTTGACTACAAAATAAACACCGACATTACAATATATCTACATCCTGTATTATAGTAAAATATCAAGACATTATAAAATCAGTAGCTTTCATCATATTTAAAAGGAACAAATACAGTCCTGTCAATTACACTAGAAGTTATACCCAATTACTTGGGCTATAAAAGCAAACCTGTCACACACAAACCTGGTTAATTCAAACTGATCATATGATTAAATAAGCCATGGCCAGAGGTTACCGTATATACTCGAGTATAAGCCGTCCCGAATATAAGCCGAGGTACCTAATTTTACCAAAAAAACTGGGAAAAAGTATTGACCCGAATATAAGCCGAGGGTGGGAAATGAGGCAGCTACTGGTAGATAGATACCAATAAAATTACATGAATATTTATTTAAAAGAAAAATAACCTAGCTCTGTAAGTGGAAAAGGGGGTACAGGGCTACATATGTACTACGGATCATTTAACCCATTCATATTAGCAGAGGATAATTGTAAATCTATTGTTCAGTGCATTCTATATGTAGTATATAGTACATGTACATATAGAGTGCCTGCAACAATACATTTACAATGATCCTCTGCTAACATGAATGGGTTAAATGATCCATAGTACAGGGCTACATACAGATCATTTAATACATTCATGTTAGTATAATTGTAAATGTATTGTCTGCACTGTATTAGCAGTATATACTCTATATGTAGTATATACTGCTAATACAGTGCAGACAATACATATATAATTGCTTAATAAATCTCTCCCCCCTTGCTGCTGCTCCGGTGGGCGGCGCTCCGAGCGGGGTCATCTGGCAATCTCCGGCCCCCTAAATTTGGACCCGTAGACTGCCAGATGACCCCGCTTGGAGCGCCGCCCACCGGAGCAGCAGTGACGCG